TTTGTGATAAGTTGGCCGAGTCTCCTATATATGAAACTCTTGAACAAACTGTAAATTATATGTATCCGCTGGCCTGGAAATTTCTACCTTTGATATATTTGTTTTTGTTGCCCATTTGGGGGGCCAGAAGAGAGGATGCAGGCGAGGCAGAGTGGTGCAGTTTCCGCTCAACCCTACAAATCAGAAACAGGCTGGCATGAAGGGGAACACAACCCCAGGGCAGGGATCAGGGTGAGGTGAGTGTGAGTGAGTCAGCAAGTGCAGGGTAGGATCCTGCTTCACTTAAAATTCTGATGTTTTGTTTAGCACTGATTTCTTATTTTGTCTCAATTTTGACTTCTTACAATATTGCATTACCGAATTTTTTGGCACCCACTTACATTTTGTGCCCAAGCTGAATGCCTCCCTCGCTCACCCTAGTCCTGGCTTCTTCAAGCAGTACTGGGCTCTGCATTCAAGTAGAGCCACACTATGGAGCCACACTACAGCACAGTCTCTCCCTTTTACCCGCCTCGACTCTGACGGGCCAGGGAAGGCTTTTACAAGAGCTACGTTCTCCCTGCTTGCAAAACTGAAAATGAAGAGCACAGGAAAGTGTCTTCTTTGTCTCATAGGGAAGCTATGGGAGTGTTAGGAAGCAGTCGTCATTGAGGGAACTGACACTGGGACTTTTAGCTGTTCTCTCTTCTAGTACTTATTTGTTTCTGGACAGGATCCATGATGAGTAAAAGAACTAATGCCCTGAATGTGGATTTATTAGCAGGAGAAATGAGGAGTCAGAATAACACATTCACCCAAAAAGTATGAAAAAAATCCCTCCAAAGCATGCTAAGTTAAATAAAAATGAGAGGCTTGATATACATACATTGTAAATGTGACATAATCTCTTTTAAAGCATGAAATGGGCAAGATTACATGTGATAGAGCTAAACTAACACCAAGGGTACTTTTCCATTCTTGAAGAGATCAAAATAATACTTCCAATCTCATTGCTAAACTTCTCATCAGCCTTGCTGGTATCTGTCTCCTTGTCTTTTAAAAAAAGATATGCTTAGAGTCTTCAGGCAGGGGCAGATGCTGCCCCCCTTCCAAAAGAACACTGGGGCCCTGTTTCCTCTCCATTTGTGTTTGACATGAGTAGAGTGGAGGAAGGGACTAAAGTTTACTGAGTAACTCCTCTGTGTTGATGCTTTTGGAAGCATTATCTTACTTGATGCCCTGGCAGCCCTGGAAGAGAGAGTGGTTCTCACAAAGAGGATTAGGAGATGCAGGGAGGAAGATTTAGTCCTGGCAGGTGCTACAGCTAGAACCATGAAGCCCCTAGGTGTCATACTGTTTTCTCTGGAGGGATATGATAAGACTAGGTGTAATGTTACTACTCTGTCTTTCGTTTTAGCAAGTCATCTCATCTTAGGATTGTTGGAAGGGTGAAATACAGGGGCTTCAGTTCTATTGTCTTCCATGGAAAGAAACTTTGAATACTGCAGAACTTTTTGGAAATTGAAAGTTAAAGCTATAGGCAATAAAATTTCTTGAAAGAAGAGAAAGTTGGGGATGTTGATCTGGTTAAACAGCTCTCAAAATTATCTGCTGACATTAGATGGGTATTGGTTTTTAGGCATTAACATGAGTATAAATCTATTTTATGCATTTCTATGCAAAGTCAATAGAAAAAAACCCTAAATATATATTTAATTCCTTAGGGTCCCAAAGCATTTTGAGGATTTAAACTGATAAACCAACCTCAAAGGGACTGATTCTTGCAACTAAAACACAGACACCTCTGGGGTGAAATGTGGCAACAGTTTGACAGGCATAGCAGTAGCTTAGGCCAGAAAGGATTTATCCAATTAAAATTATGGGATGAATTCTGGCTGGCAGAATGTAATTACCAGCCTTGGAATGGATCCAGGATCCTGAGGTTAACACCCCTCCTCTTGCCAACAACCCTCCTACCTGCCAACACTCCGAGATGGAGAAGGCTGGATCTGACACAATCGCACATAATACTGTTGTGACATCTAAGTACAATGATGATGATGTGAGAAGCATCATGAACCTGATTTTTTTTAACACTCATTATGTTACTTATTTTTATGCCACATTAGGCTAGAAACCAAATGTCCACATAAATGTTAATTTCCTCAAATCTGTGTTTAAAAAGTATAATTAGAAAATAAAAAATAGATTTAAAAATTAATTTATTCTGCCAAAGTAGTTATTTAGTGATTATTTCACTTCAGGAACGAAATTGGATCAAAATGGTGACATTTAATCCTTGTTACATTAAAAAAAAAAAAGCAGGTCCTGATTTTTTGGAAGAGAAATGTATTCTCAAGGTTCACTGGCCTAAAAAAAAGGGAAATGCTTAATGCCTGGTTCCTACTCGCTGTAACTTAGAGTAAATGGGTATATGCTTTTGTCTTGGGGTGGGTCCAGATCATATTCGAAATCGCTCGCGGGCAGTATTTCTCAGAAGGGAATTTATTAAAGATGCGTTTGTGCGTAAACCGGAGAAAAGAGCCCCCTGCTGGTGTAGGATCAGTGGGTAATGACCTCATCATTAGATTCTAATGCCCTTTTAAAAAGTCACTCATTTACGAGAGAATTGTGGAGAGTTACAGGTTAAAGCAGGTGGGGCGGGAAAGCACTTCTAGAGAGAACGTTAAGCCCTCCGGGCCGCCGGCAGGCGGTCGGGGCCTGTGGGGTCGGGTGGGGTCAGGGAAGGAGCTGCAGAGCCGAGCCGGCGGGCGGCGGGGCTGGAGCGCGCCCGGGCGCCCGGGAGGCGGGGCCAGCGACGGAAGCTGTGCGCCGGTCACGCGCGGCGACTCTGGTTTGGCGCCGTCCTACCCCGTCGCCCTCCGCGCCAGCAGGTGGGTCCCCCAAACCGCGGAGCAGCCAGCGTCGTCGCAGGTTCGAGGCGGGCCTGGGGCAGCGCTGCCGCCGGCCGCCCTTCGCTCCGGGGCCCGCCGCCCGCGGACGCTGATACCTCTGCTAGAGTCTCCCGGGGCCCTCAGCGAGTCCCTCGGGTTACCCTTCGGCCCACGTGGCTCTGGGCCACCCCACACCAGAACCTGGGCGGGACCGCGCAGGGGGTCCCAGCGACGGTGTCTGCCCCAGACCTCGCACTACGGCCTCCTCGGCGAGCCTCTGCCGCCCTAAAAGTGCCGGCGGTGGTGCGTGCGCAGGACACAGGTGATGTGGCAGAGCCGTTGCGAACTGCTCAGCTCCTCAGGGGCCCAGCCGGTTCCTCCGGGGGAGGCAGGTTTTAGGTCTCTCGCCGGAAGTAATCCCAAAGGTGATCGAAGTGGTGGGAGGCCTAGGATCACACTCCCTCAAACCACAAAGTGTTTGGGGTCTTGCTCGGGGTCACATTCTTAGAGGCGGAGGTAGAGAAAGACTTCCCCTTTTTACTAGCAAGACTGACAGCTTGCCAAAAGCTTGATATCGCCCCTAGTTTCAGCTTTTGCAGTGAAGGTGGATTTTTCTAACACCATCTTTGTGTGATTTAGCTGTCCACAGGGAATAAAAATGTGGAATGAGAGGATGAAACTAATCCTTTCTTTTGCACTGTTAGGGGTTGCCATAAACACCATTTGTTAAAAAGCGTAATTATGTTGGGAAAGTGCCTGATGAGACAATTAAGCTACATAAACACACTGAAAACAAATGAAAGCCAGAAGACGCCCACACCCCTTGTGTAAAGCAATTTTTTGTTTACATAAAAACGAGAGATGTCTGAGCTGCTTTATTACAACAGTGTTATTAATGTCTACAAAATCCTAATGACCGTATTTTTTATGAATTTTCAATCATGAGATGATGGTCACGATATGAAAACTTGAACTAACCATGAAGCCCTGTATCCCCTCTTAGGTTAAAGTGATCAGGCCAACGAACAATCCTAGTGAACAGAAGCCAGTGGATTTATGCATGGAGAGCACTGTTAATGGCACCACAGCATGTTAGCTTAAACTTACGAGCTTAACGTGTGTCTCAGAGTTGGACATCATTCCCGGCAGTATCCCCACACGGAGAACATTATGTGGCACAAAATGACCCTCATCAAACATTTGCTGATCGAGTTCATGAGGGCCACATTCACTTTTAGCTATATTTAAAAGAGGCGGAAATAGGATGGCCTGATCTTAAAAAGGGGAATTATTTTCTTTTTGTTTTGAGATATTGAAATTTCTTTAGTTCATAGTATCATTCGGGGTATAGAAAGATAACTAGTTGAAAATGCCATTCTAGAGTACTAAGGAGAATCAAAGCAACCACCAAAGCTTGTGTGGAATCATTCCATTTTCAACAAAATCAGTCACATTTTTGGCTGATTATTGAGTAACATATCAGAGTAGTCCATGTCAGCTTTCAGTTCAAGGTACAGAGTCCTGTGAAACAAGATTTTAAGCTGTTATAGGGACTATGGAGATCAAAGTACAAGAGAAATTTAGTCATATAGTTGTCATTTAAAGCCCCCAAATGAGCCCCTTTTGTTAGTTCATATACTGCCCATGGCATGGCCTGTAGAGACACCCTTTCTCTCTGTCAGAGTAGTTTTTGTAAGAATCAGCATATTAAGTAATCTGCCTCATTTCTCTTTTCTGCATTTCCCCAGTAATCTCATTTAACGAAAGTATCATGCCTCTTTGAAAATAGGATTAAACTGTGGAAGACAGTTCTTAAAAGGAGTAACATACTTTAATGAAGAAGTTTCACAGGACAGAATTCAGACTGAGTAACTTGATGGATACTTTATAGTGTTGTTGCTATCTTCATATGTTCATATGTGCATGACCACATATACATGGTTTCCTGGTTGAGTCAATCTGAGGATTTTATCCTTTAGGTGTTACTGAGGAATGAAATAGTGAAGTATTCATATTATGACTGCCTGGTTTCCAAAAAGCTATGATTTTTTTAAAAAGTTTAATGAACATGAAAATATGAATGAACTGTAGAAACCAAAATGAAGGCTTATTTTTCTCCTATTCTAGAAGAAAATTACCATGTCTTCTTCCAGACTGGGGCTCCGTTTGGCTGTCTGTTTATTAAACATTTCAGAAGCCAGAAGAAAATACATTGTTGAGAATGTAGCGAAAGCGGCTCTTCTGGAAAAAAATGGTAGGAACAACAGGCAATTGAAGTGAATATGTAGTGTTTTGATAATACAGTAATTTTTGTACTCTGCTAACAATGTCTATAGAACGCTCTTCTTCTTTCTTCCTGAATTTCCCCCCTTGTTCTTGGGCTGTTACAGCTTCTGCAGGACTCCAGGATACTGAGATAGACGACTTACTCAGATGTGCACATATGCTCTTCTCCAAACGCCTGGATACAATCCCCAGCATATTTCTTCACATTGGTGAGAGTGTCTGAAATGCACATTATTCAGGATATTGGCAGGCTCCTGAGGAGGATATATTTACATAAAGGTTTAATGTTTCCCTTATGGGCCATTTATGTGATCATTAATAGAATGAGCATAATTGTATATTCTGCTTTTTATTCAGCAGGTTAAATAAAAAATAAACTTACCAAATACCAAGTCCTCTTCAAAAGCACTCCTGCCATCAAAGCCCATGCTGTCATTGCAGCATTAATATTTCTACTCCATTTTCTATGCATAAAGACTCTTAGGCAGTTGCATTTAAGTGATGTGTGTATGATTACTCTGCGATTCAATTCAGAAGACTGAAACTCAAGCCTCCTTACTCCCTGGGCCAGTATTTACTATAAGACATACTACTCTTTCTTTTTTTTTAACCCTTGTTAAAATGTTCATGTGATGACATACAGTTCTAGACATTTGTTTTTACTTTCACACATACACAGGACATAGTGTATTTACAGACTTACAATCACTTAACTTTGTTATTTGAAATCAACAGCTTTTCAGCAACAGGTGAACGCTAGGGTCACAGCCCTAAAGCATTTGAGACAGTTGATTTTAATTTCTGATTGTCATTTTTTATTTGGTTATTGCTTTTCATGAGAGAGAAGTGTTTTCCCCCAGCCCGTTGCTAACGCTGAGCACATTTAAGTTACTGTCTTGCAACTTTGAGGGAGCTGGAAGTGTCTGTGAAAATTCCTGATAATTTCTAATAAGAAAGCTCCTCTGGAGTCAGTGTGCAGCTGTGCTTTTGCATTCTCTTTGCAGTAAGAGCCAGCTTGGGCCCCTCATTGTCAGATAGTACATCTAGTGGGATTGGGTGAATGTGCAGAGACATATTCCATGATTCAGTGACTGGGCAGAGACATTTGTGGAAGCCACACACTGATGGACGCCTGGGTCTCAACTCACAGTTTTTATCAGCTTATTAGTGACAGCAGCTCAAACGGAATTATAGCTATTACACTGCATTACAAATACCAAACAATTTACTTCTGCTGAGGTTCATACTGACAGCTCCTCCTGCCAACAGTAATTTTTTTTCTATATGCATGCTTAAGAAATTTCAGGAGAGAGTGTTTCATTCTTTCAGCATTTGATTCAATTGAATCATATGAAACTGAGAATAAAAGCTTTTCAGAATAAGATTTAGAAAGAAAAAATCAAATCAAATCATTTCTTCTAAAAGCTTAAGTATGTTGAAAAAAATACATAAAAAGAGGTTGTATGATCGTGTTGCTACCCATCTTTCATAGTTTTAAAAATGCAGGGAAGGTAGCACTAGTTAAGAAAATGACCTGCTGTTTTACAGATACTTTAAAGGCATTTATTTTTAAGTGAGTGGAATAAAACTATATCATCTATATTTTTACCAATTAAGCAATGTGAAAACATTTAAATGACCTAAAAGGTCTTATGGAAAGAAAGCTGAATTATAAATTTTAGACCTATACCAGGGCAGGTCTCTGTAGATGCTCATTTGGCTATGAGTGAGTGACATAAGTTTATCTTTTCATGTTATTAAAATTAATAGTGCGGGGCTGCTGTAAGCTCTGTAGTTGCTGCGGGTAACTTATTTTTCCTCTCCTCTGAAAAGATTAATTGTTAAACTGCCAGGGGACAGGGCGACAAAGATATAATGGCATAGTGAAAGCTTTAATTACCGTCTGAAAACTTTTGTCCTTCACTCTGAATTTGCTTTTGTAGGCATACGAGGAACTTTTAAGGAGCTGAACCAGGCTTGTAAACTTCAAAAATAACTAGAGGGTTATGTGTGGTTGCCATACAAGGGTATGGCAGCTTTCTCCTTCAGGTTACACATTCAAGTGAGTCACAAGCTGCTGAAGGCTGGAAGTCATTAACATCTGAAGGCTGTTGGTGTCCTTTGAAAAGGAGATGGTGGAGTCAGAACAGTTTCTAATAGGCAGGTGCCTGTATCCCAGAAACCTCTGCTCCAGGCACTAATTGGCCTATCCTAGTTTTTCCAGATGTTAGATTTTGATTTCTGGGTTTGGAAGGAAAAATTGACAAGGCCTAGAAGATGAGATTGATAAGGAACAGAATTTAGAGTGATATGATTTGGCGATTGAAAGAAGAGCTACTGTCTTAGACTGAGTTAAGAGAACTTTGGCAAGTTCAGAAGCAAGTGCCAGAAAAGTTCTCTCGTAGACACCAAAGCCTCGTATCTGAGCTGAGCCATCTGCTTGTATAGGAAGCACTGTAAGAAGTGGATGTTACTGTCTACAAATTTCATGATTAGTCAGTGTCACTTCAGAGGTCACCCCCTAGAATTTTTCTCTTAAACACTTTCTATTTAATTATATCAGAAGAAATAAAGTATTAAGATTTCATCACAGAAGAAAATTCTTGCATTTATGTGTTGCTTTCTTTATAGGACAGAAACATCCTGAGGTATCAGTGCTCAACGTATTTTCTGATCAAGGGTACAACAGATCAGTCATTACAATAGCAGCTTCTGTTGCTGAGTTAGGTAAGATTTCAGTTTCTATTTTTTTACATATGTCTTTTGGCGAAGGGTCAGCTTCAGGTACACCTGAATGCCCTTTAATCACTGATTGCCTGTGTTAATCTGGATACTCCCCTCCATTACATAGGGAGTCTACCTCAAAACTGCATTTCATCATTTTTGTGAACATGTACCGCTCAAACATTTCCCATTTCCTCTTCATTAAAATGAACCTTGGGGGTCCAATATTTAATAACATTCTTTCCTTGAAGATGATCACATATCCTTTGTGGTTAAGAAAAATATCTTCATGTTTTAACCTGTGAAGTAATAGTGTTGAAGTCAGCCTTGATTTCACTGATAAGTTGACATGGAATGAAACATGCTAAGCAGTTGTGTTTTGGGTTGGGAGCCTGACATCTTGAGTTGGTCCACTGGGTGAAATGAAATGGGTTTCAAGTCTTCTGTTGTAAGGTTTAGTGGGACAACTTGAATTTGAAGGTTCATAATTGTTTAAACAAAAACCTGTATTATTTTAGTATTGCTTGGTAAAGGGTTTAAAATATTTTCTTTTTTAAAAATAATTAATTAATTAATTAATTTTTGGTTGCGTTGGGTCCTGGTTGCTGTGTGTGCGTTTTCTCTAGTTGCTGCGAGCGGGGGCTACTCTTTGTTGTGGTGTGTGGCCTTCTCATTGTGGTGGCTTCTCTTGTTGGGGAGCACCGGCTCTAGGTGTGCGGGCTTCAGTAGTTGTGGCTCGTGGGCTCTAGAGCACAGGCTTAGTAGCTGTGGCTCACGGGCTTAGTTGCTCCACGGCATGTAGGATCTTCCCGGACCAGGCCTCAAACCTGTGTCCGCTGCATTGGCAGGCGGATTCTTTACCACTGCGCCACCAGGGAAGTCCTAAAATATTTTCAAATAAACTTGACTTCAACTTAGCAGATTTTTCAAAAGGTATATTTGTTTGGAAAACAAAGAGCTGATGGATAGTTCCCAGCAGATGTAGGACCGATTACCTTCCTTATTGTTTAGCTCTCTTGCCAAATGGTCATACTGCACTGCAAATAAAAACTCATGGTAATAACATAACACTCTGATGTGTCTATAATATGTATTTAGATAGAATAATTTAATGAAAAATCTAATTATAAGAGCAGAACTAAAATACTTATGCTTTTAAAATTTATGTTTGTGTGTATATTTTATTATAAATTCATAAAATATTCTGAAAATAACAAGGAATTTTATCAGATTAATCTGATAAAATTGAAAAAATTTAAAGTAACCAATTGTAAAAAAAATACAATACAAAGTTTCTTAAGACTGATAAACTTTGTATGCTTCCTCCACTTTGGGGAGTAAGGAGTTAGAAGAAATGTGAAACTTTGTGACACTTGGGAGGTGGGGAGAGGGGAAATGTTGGGTCTTTCATTTTTCTTTATTTTGGATGGATAAACAATCTTCTCTACATATTACAGAAAAACAACTGGTGGGACAATAATAAATATAGCTACTTCTTTAGATGCGATTGAAAGTTTAATGATTTTTTTTTTTTTTTTAAGGCAATTCCATTCTGGCTGCCTGCCTGGAGGCCTTCCAGTCAATTGATATGGAGGTTCAAGAGGGGATCCATCCTTGCCTGGGAGCAGTGGACCTGATTCCCATTTACCCTCTCTCTGGTGTTGGAGTGGAAGAGTGTGGAGCTGTGGCCAGAAGTAAGAGAAAGTTTGGGGTAGTGTGTTATTCCTTAATGGAAACCATTTTTACAAGTCAGAACAGGTTGTGACAATATAATCACTCCTCAGTTCCCTGGGAAAAGTCAACCTTGAAGAATTGTATCAACAGTAAGCTTCCATGGGTTGCAGTGGCACAGTGTGTCGCTGTGACTCATCCTTCCACTTTCTACCCCATGACGCTGTGGAACACTAAATGCTGTAGGATGCAGCAAATCAACCATTGTGACCCTTACAAATTCACGATAGACCATGAGGAGACAGCAGTAGTCTCTAATGAGTTCTTTAGACTCTTCAGGGCAGGACGATGGTGTGTTTCACCCATCTGTGTCCTATTTTCTTGAGCAGGAGTAATGATGAGGTTGAAAACCCACTTAAATGTTAACTCCTACCCCTTTTTCCTCTGATTTTTTTTTCTTTTTTCCTTGTGCACAACGCTCTTTAAGGTTTTCTTTAGAACTGAACTGTCACATGCTTGATTTCAGCCCCATGGGCAAGTTTAATTTGGAAAATTTGAGCTATGTCACTTGAGGTGTTTTTGAATTAAGCAAATTGGGAGAAAAGAAAGACCTTTTGCCTGGACTGTCTAGCTAGTTAATTATGAGATGCAGAGACTTTAACCTTTGGGGAAAAGTCCACCTTAGGACGATTGCAAACTTCTCTGTATGACCTCAGAAATCCTCTGTGGTGGTGCCTCACTTTTAGGTAATAGGGAAATGTCTAACATTTGGGTTGTAGATTTGGACTCTAGCTGAGCTCCATCAAGCGCTAGAAATATGAAATGAGACTTGTTTCCAAAGGTGTATCTCATTCCATGTGTTGCATTTTAACATGAACCTGACAATGGATGGATTATTTCCCAGAGAAATCATGGCCCAAAATTTGCTTTACTTTTCATCTAAGAAAGAGTTAAAATTCAGCATGGGGGAAAATGCATTTCACACAAAAATGAAGAGTTCAGAATTGTCCAGACCAGAATAATGATTTTAATGTCTTCAAAAAAATTATGTTCAATTACATTAAATCTCAAATTAGCTAGTACATGAAGTTCTTCATTACATCAGGACTAGTCCACCCCAGATGTTTGGCCAGAGTAGGAGACAGTTGACAACAGGAGGGTCTGGACACAGTATTTCTCCCTTCCTTTGCCCTTTTGCTTCATTGGCAGCTACTGTACCTCATGATTTAAAGATGGACATTTCTAATTAAATGAGAGCTCAGCTGCATTCTTGAACTAATTTATAACATTCGATTTGAAATGTAATAGCTTCAATCTTCATCTGATTAAAACCAGTCATATACTGTACATGGTTACTATTTTGATGCTCCAACATGCAGTTTTTATTTTTACATTCTCCTTTCTACACAGCTGTTTGTCTAATATCATCCAATTTTTTTTGGTTTGTGTTTTTTTTGTTTTTTTGGTAACAGCATGCTCAGGCATTCGTATGAGGCAGAAGTATTCGTGTTCTAGGATCTCACTGTTTTCAGAACAGTGACAGGATGTTTTTCACTAGAGTAACCCCTTGTCAGGGAAACCATGTTAAAATAATAATTTAACTAACTTTCTTTGGGAGGAAGGGCAATGGAGAACATTCCAGTGACATAGAAGATAGTTGATATTGACATGTGTAATTCATGTATGTTTTATATGCAAAAATTCTGGATAATATATATTTTAGAGCTTTTTAAAAAAAAAATTTATTTATTTATTTTTGGCTGTGTTGGGTCTTCGTTTCTGTGTGAGGGCTTTCTCTAGTTGTGGCGAGCGGGGGCCACTCCTCATCACGGTGCGCGGGCTTCTCACTGTCGCAGCCTCTCTTGTTGCGGTGCGCAAGCTCCAGACGCGCAGGCTCAGTAGTTGTGGCTCACGGGCCCAGTTGATCTGCGTCATGTGGGATCTTCCCAGACCAGGGCTAGAACCTGTGTCCCCTGCATTGGCAGGCAGATTCTTAACCACTGTGCCACCAGGGAAACTCTATTTTAGAGCTTTTTGATAGCAGCTGGAAGCTTGCTTATTCCTTAAGGAAGGGATTCTTAAAGTGAGGTCCAAAGTTCATGTTCAGGGGACTTATAAATAATGTCAAAATCACTTGTAAGTTTTTATGATGTGCATTTGTATGTACATACATAGATACACACACTCATAATTTTGCATATAATTTTAGTTTAAGAACTTCTAGAATAAAGGGCACAGCAATGCAGAGTCCTAGAGGTGGAAGCAGCCTGGGCTTAAGGACCTGAAAGGACTGCAGTGTTGCTGGCTGAAACTTAGAGATGGGGTGGGGTGGGAAGGTTAAGAAATGAAGCTCCAGAGGTAATCAGAGGCAAGGTCATGAAGTCTTATATGCCAGGTTAAGGAGTTCACACTTTATCCTAAACGCAGTGGAAACTGTTGGAAGAGTTTTAAGAAAGAAAGTCTATGATTGGCTTTGAACATTAGAAAGATAACTTTGTGTGTATGATAGAGAATGGACAATGAGCAGGTAGATCAGTCTGGAAAGGTGATGGTGGCCTAAGATAATAGAGAATGGAGAGAATGGGGAGACTCCATAGGAGGTTGGGATATGAGCAGTGGTATGAAAGTGTCTTCACTTACAGATGCTGCCATGTAAAAAAAGGTGACACATAGATCTAGTCTATATTTATTTAAAGCTTATAATTTAAAAAAATGTTTTGGACTTTGGTTTTCATTTTCTATAAAACCACATTTGATCTATTAGGCTCCATTTCATTTTTATCTGTATTATGTCTCTAAAATTTTTCTCCTCCTCCCTTTTTCCCTTCTCCATTCCATCCTTCTCTCTCTCCCTTCTTTCCTCCTTCCGTTCCTCTCTTTGCTTCTTTTTGTTGTTATCAAAATGATACATGAACATGGTTAAAAGTCAAATCTACAGGGTTTGTTCCCCAAACTCTAGACCTACATAACTTCCCTTTCCTCCTCACTCTGTACACACTTCAGTTTCCTTCTCCCCTGAGCCAAGTACTTTCAACTCTTTTATTATTTAGGATTCAAATCCAGATATCTGAATATCATATCTGTATTGGTACTTCTTGTTTTTTTAAGTTTTAGGCATTATCTGTCGACTTCTCACTTCAGAAGATGAGAATTCAGCTTCCTTTCACCCACCTCTCACCCCCAGCACGCGCGCGCACACACACACACACACACACGTTTCCCACTTACTTCCGAATTCTCCTTCCTCACCATATAGTTATATCTTGGAACAGTATTTAGTGGTCACATTATTATAACTGTGTAAACATTATTTACAATGAAGTATTTACAACGTTATTATTTTACCCTTTCTGTACAACCTTTTCTTTTTGCTGCAATTGATCATTATCTTTTTGATTGTTTGCTTACTTTTTTATATACTTACCACTGGTTTAACCCCACACTCTGTCACTAATGACATCTCTCCATGCATTCAGATAGAACACACCATGTATTGACTGTTCTATAAATTTCATCTTCTTAAAAAAAAACAAAAACTATCTTTTAGGGGAATTCCCTGGTGGTCCAGTGGTTAGGACTCTGCGATCTCACTGCTGAGGGCCTGGGTTCGATCCCTAATTGGGGAACTAAGATCCCACAAGCCGCACAGTGTGGCCAAAAAAACCCCCAACTTTCTTCTAGAACTCTCTGATCTGGTTCAGTTAGGACGATTTACTCTCAATTTGTTGAGGATGACTGTCATCATGGCATCTCCCATTACTTTTATCCTGGGTGTTCCCTTCATCTTTCTCTATTTTGGATCCCCTGGTTCCTGAATCCCATATCTTCTCTTTTTTTCCCCCTTTTATGTCCTTGTTTTGGTGGAACATATCCTCTACTAGCTTTCCAAAAAACAGTGGGGTGGGGGCAGGGAGAGTACATTTTTGAGAACTTACATGTCTGAAAATGCCATTATTCTACCTTCACACTTAATTTTTAGTTTAGCTAGGTATAGAATAATAGGTTACAAATAATTTTCCTTTATTTTGATGATGTTGTATCAATTCTCATTTCCATGTTGCTATTGAGACTTTTGAAGCATTATGATTCCTGATCTTTGTATGTGACCTGTCACTTCTCACTGGAAGCTTGTAAGATCTTCACTTTGTTCCTAGTGTTCTGGAATTTCTGTGATGTGCCTTTGTATACGTCTGTTTTCATTCATTATGCTGGATAACTGGTAGACCCTTTGAATTCTTGAAACTTGTTCCCCAGTGCTGGAAGTTCTCTTGAGTTATTCCATTGATATATTTTTTTAACATCTTTATTGGAGTATAATTGCTTTAAAATGGTGTGTTAGTTTCTGCTTTATAACAAAGTGAAGCAGCTATACATATACATATATCCCCATTTCTCCTCCCTCTTGCATCTCCCTCCCACCCTCCCTATCCCACCCCTCTAGGTGGTCACAAAGCACCAAGCTGATCTCCCTGTGCTATGCGGCTGCTTCCCACTAGCTATCTATTTTACATTTGGTAGTGTATATATAAGTCCATGCCACTTTCTCACTTTGTCCCAGCTTACCCTTCCCCCTCCTTGTGTCCTCAAGTCCATTCTCTACATCTGCCTCTTTATTCCTGTCCTGCCCCTAGGTTCTTCAGAACCATTTTTTTTTTTTTTTAGATTCCATATATATGTGTTAGCATACGGTATTTATTTTTCTCTTTCTGACTTACTTCACTCTGCATGACAGTCTCTAGGTCCATCCACTTCACTACAAATAACTCAATTTTGTTTCTTTTTATGGCTGAGTAATATTCCATTGTATATATGTGCCACATCTTCTTTATCCATTCATCTGATGATGGACACTTAGGTTGCTTCCATGTCCTGGCTGTTGTAAATAGAGCTGCAATGAACATTGTGGTACAAGGCTCTTTTTGAATTATGGTTTTCTCAGGGTATATGCCCAGTAGTGGGATTGCTGGGTCGTATGGTAGTTCTATTTTTAGTTTTTTGAGGAACCTCCATACTGTTCTCCATA